TATAAATATAAGGCCTACTCTGCCTGGGGACTGTCTCTTCAGACTTGGTCTCTTAGGATCATCCACAGGTACCTATACTGTAGATAGGTCTTAGTCATCAGGTCTACTCCACTTCCTTGTTGCCTGCTTAGACTCTTGGCACTCTTAGGTGAGCAGACTTAGTCAGCCTGTGTTGCCCTAACAGCAGATGACACTGCAGCCCAGTAGGTTGGAGTCGCTGAGGACAGGCATAGCTACCGAAATGTCAAAACACATGGTCAGGTTTGCACTCATGATCCTCAATGGCAAGTCTTTCCCCACCTGCATTACCAACATCTCCACTATGACCCAGAAGTTCCTCTTGCTGGACAAATGTGAACTCTTCTCCAATGGTGCACATATCAAGTGGCGCAGCTAGAAATCTCACCAGTGACCAATGTACAAACCATGAAGCAGCACAAGAAAGCCAATGTTACTTGCATTGCAGATCTACCTGCATTGTCCCCTGAAGCTGAGAAGATGGTGAAAGACATTCAAGAGGACATATTTTGCATGATCACCACCAATCAAGTTGATACCAGCACTTTTTCAGCATGGCCCATTGGCCAAGGCAGAAAGAAGCTCAAGGTCAATGAGCAGAATGAGTGAAACAGAGAATGAGATGCAGCAGATCAAGCCTATTTTGAACAGTGCATGAGATTCCATAGCAGCACCTATGATTCTGACTCCTTTTTAGATGCAAGCAGGAAGAGTTATCATGGACACCCTTGATTCAGTCATATAATACCATTCAAACAACTGTCCTCAAATCCATCCAGTCTCACATGGCTGATCTGGCTTCTCAAAGCCCCCAAACACTCTATTTGGACATAATGTTGTATTGTGCCCTTTTGGGAGGCTTTGGAACTGCATTGGCATACCTGCTTACATAGAGTATACCTATAATGTACATTGATCAAAGGCAGGTGGTGAGCTCAAGCAAGATTGGCCCTTGCCTCTACCTTTCCCATCTGTACACAATAGTACCACAGTATTTACTCTCCTATTCCTCCACCAATATCTTGTCCCAGTTATAGTTCTTGCCTCTCCCCCAATACATCCCCTTGATCTTTGGATCCACTACAGACCAGCTTGACCCGGCTTCATCCATCTTCCCCCTTTTCATTTTGGTCATTGTTGCCATGTTGTCAGTACTCTGTGCAGAATTCTTTCTCTTCCTTCCCCTGCCTTGCATGACTTTTTGGTTGTTAGCCTTCCTATCTGAGGCTTGGTCATGCTCAGGTTTGGTTTGGTTGGTGATGATTCACCCAAGATTTGCATCTCCATTTCTGCATTTCTCTCACTGAAAGTATGTCTCACAGCCCTCCTGCTCCTATCTTCCTCTGATATTTCCATGTCAGACAACCCAATTGCCTCTGGCTGGTCTGGTTGGTTCCTCGGCAGTTCAGGCAGTGCACTGTTCTCTTCTGAGGCATGTGGCTTCTTATGGCTGACCAGCTGGGACCAGGTGGGTGCTTGAAGAGCTAGTTCCCTGATGTCAAGCAGATGTGCCAGGCACCCACTGCACCTCTCCAAGGCTGTGACATATCTTGTGGGTGGAGCTATACACATTGGTGTTTTGCTGAGCTTGACTTTGATTTGCAGCCTCTGATAATTGGTTCCTGGTCCATGAGAGTAGACTCTGTTTTCCCCTTGTCTGAAATGCAAGGTTCTCTGGCTGTCACACATCATATCTCAGCACCGAAATGTCACGCTTGTTGGGTGTTGGCAGTCCAGCTTCATGGGTTGGAAACAACCTGGACAGTCTTGATCTGTAGGATTTCCTGTCCAGTTCAGCCTTGGGGTTCCTGGGGTGATCCTCCAAGATGGCTCTTTGGAGGCCAATGTATAGATGTTGATTTCATTCAGATCCTTATAAGCACCCAACAAAGCAGGTTGCAACTCTTGAGCATGGGTGATATAAGATGTGAGGAAAATGCAAAAAGCCAGCAGAGAACTTCCTTCATTCAAGCAAGTCCCCTGTGAAAGTGATGGTGTTGTGGAAGTAAGATCTGCAACCAATTCATTCCTTTGCCTCACACTAACAGTGCCACTCACTTATGTTGTAGCTGCAATACCCTGGTTTGGTCCACTGATCCTCCTCCCAGAACATGCAATCACCATGAGTAATGAGTCATCACAAATCTCCTTAGGCTTGACTTTGCCGAAGAACAAATAAATAGCCTGCATGATGCTGTCAGTCACAAGCATCTTGGATCCACAGTTCCACATACTTCAATAGCTTCATGATACTCGCCTCCTGATACCCTTTCAAAAGGTAGCAGAAGCTGTCCAGTTTGCTTGTCACAGTCAGTAGTGACCACCATCATTACTCAGAAATGCATCCCAAACCTGTCACCTAATTCAGTACTTTTCTTGCACATCTGGATTAGCACACTCACTCATCCTTTGCTTTCTGTAGTTGGGCTTGCACTGCTCTCTCCAGTGCTCCCGGAGCTAATGGCTCTTGAAACCTGAGCATGCCAGTCTGGCTCCAAGATGGAGACACATTTTCCTTCAACGTCACAGTGACAGTTCTATGGTTTGGCTGAGATTCACTCTCCTTTGTTGCCTGCTTACACCCCCAGGTGCAGAGACTTGGTCAAAGATGAAGGTGGATGCCTGTGCATGCAGTTCAATCCAAGGTACCATCTTCTCTGCATCCACATCCAGGAAGAAAAACAGTATCACGAGTTCTGTGTTTCTGGGTGCATCCCATTCTCTTAGCATCCCAGAGTAGGGATACTGGCACAATGAGACTCTCTCTGTTCCATGCACATGAACAACATACCTCAACATGCCCATTTGTCTCTCACCTGCTACACTGGACACACTTGATTTCACCCCCCTCCCTGGCCCAGATTTCTTCCCCCATTATATGCACACATCCCAGCCCATGGTTTGAATCAATGCAGAAGAACTTCAGGCAGGTTGCACATATGGTAACAGCAAATGCTGGCTGCTTCATCTTACACACATAACATTTCTACAGATTCATCTGGGTTAGCGGACTTGCTAATACAAATTGGCTCAGCTCACATAGCAATGATGGTTGACA